TTTCTATGTCTAGTACTCTTATATGCCTTTTCGTCTATAAAAAAAATTTTAAGACTTCTTATTAGATCTAATAAGAATGCCTTACCTTTAGTGCCAGTTAAAGCAATCATTTTAGTTTTCAAAATTTTTTTGCAACTTAACATACATTTTAGCAATTGTTAGGTATATTGATATACCTAATTGTTAGATATTTTTGATATATGGTATTTTTTTACAATAATTTTTCCTAGCATCTCCTTGCAACATTCCTGCATTTTCTGTTTCCTATAGTCTTATACAGTGATGCTTTTATTGTTGCAGTTATTATTTTTAATAATTACTTGAACTTCATATATCAACATCTCCTTTTAACTTCATTATTTCAAACCAAGCTATAGTGGCATTGTCAGAAATTTTACTCTTGAAAATCAAAATATAGGCGGTTGTTTGTCCCTCGTTCTCTCTTAGTTTTAAACTCTTAGTCTCACAGTTATTCCCTGTGATATAAAATGCAAAGGACAAACCTTGGTATGTTTTTCTCAGTACAAGTATTATTCTTATGGTTGGTTTTTAATTTTTGCAAAACTTGTGTTAAATAGTTTTGATATTTAAAGTGCTAAATTTTGATCTTCTGTGTCTTTTAAATGTATTTCCTAATTTCAGCTCCACTTTTGATATTCCCTTGACCAAATGACCTGCTTCTACCCATAATCCATCCATAATTTCGCATCATCGATTCTGTTTGCTAAAATAATTAAATCAGCTAAATTAGAATAGTTTATTTTTCCTTTAAAACTACTAATCTAGATCACAATTGATTACGGTCTTTATTTTGGTTGTGTTAACTAAAGTGGACCTGATATTAAAGCAAAAGACTTACTCTCCAACTCTGATCAGTGTTATTAACTTTTATAAACTAGGATTTCCCCCAGAAATACTGCCCTCTCTGAATCAGGAATCCCAGAATTTTTAATAGCACTTTGTCTGTGTTCAGATCATCTATTGAGCTATAATGGGACGCCACTAGATGATATAACGTTTCGAAGGAATTACTAAGAAATTATATAAATGATGTTGTATAGCAATATGTTTTTATTTTAATGTTTGAAAATGGGATATTTTTAATAACTTATAATTTCAGAGGAGTGTCTAATACCGTTTCATCTTCCCCTTAATTTCCCCTGCAATATATTGTCAATTAGCTATAAGCACGCTTGTTTTTAAATGCGATTCAGAAGCCTCTAATGGAATCCTGTGGCAAAGTGAAGAATCCTTTTATATACAAAGTACAGATGTGTCAAAACCACTTATGGCTTTGTTTACACACATGACAGAGCTACCAGATCTGCGTGGCTGGGCTGGAAGTTCGAGTTTAAATCATTCTGTTAAGAGTTCCGCTACCACTTGCAGATGTCAGTAATGAAAAATAATCAACATAAGCATCTTTGAAAAGCAATTTTAGATCATTAAAGATGTATGAATTTTGACAAAGCAACAAGATTTGAGACTTATTAAGAATATATTAGGTCTCTCCATTGAGTGAAGGGAGAGGTATTCATGCGTTGGTTCAGGAGGAGAGGGCTGTCCTCATTGAGGCCTCATGAAAGATTAAGTGGGCAGGTACTGTAAGCCTTCATTCTTCACCCCAACTGTTCCGGCAAGGCTTGGAGAAGACACAGCCCTATTCCAGGATGAATCCTGACAAGAGACAGGATCTTGGAGGACAGCCTGTGTCTCCTAGAGGAGCACACGTGTGGGGCTGGTTGGTAGTCAAGGCCTCTGGCTAGTCATTTCCTGCAGCACCTAGACACGCCCTTTCCATAATCTATGCATTGGCTTCATTTCCCCACAGATCCGCAGCTTTCTTCCTTCATTCCTTTGTTTCTTTTCTGCTTATTAACCATCAAAGTCAGATCATTTGTAAATATGCAAGTAACTCAAGAGAGAAAACGGAAGAAGCAGGATTTCTGGGGTTTAATCTGTCAGGCTCAAGAAGTCAGATGAAAGGAATGCTTCCTGGGGGCTTCCAGGTCGACCTTCGGCCTGCCCCCTTGCGACCCTTAGGAAACCACTCTGTTAAAAACAAACTTTTCATTACCCTCTCTCCCCGCAAACGATCTCACTGTAAACTTCCAAAAATTTTTTTTAGTAATAAAGAATGATCCTATTTGTTCTTATTTAGCTATGGAAGTATGATCTGCAGAAGAACCGGGGTGGGTGCGTTCCAAGTGATCTGGAAAAGGTAGTGTTAGTTTGCATCCTTTTCTTGAAAATGCTGAGTATTTCCTGGAATCATGACTACATTTGCTAAAATGTGAATATATTGCATTTTTAGAAGGTATGAAGTGCAATCTCTGTCGTGTGATGTGAGTCTCATGTCAGCCGCAGCTACTCAATTTGCATGTAAATTCTGAAAATTTCCTTGTCCCATGTGACACTTCTGAAATGTCTGTCTGTTCTTTTTTCCTTTTTAATTTCTCAAGCTCACTATTTGGATAAGATAGTGAAAGGTACTGTATACTCGCTCTTTGTTGACATATCTCCATATATATCTTATATAACCGTGTATCAGATTGCACTAGGTATGAAAATGCACTGTTTTTCATGCATATTTTTGTAAATGATAAATCAGGCTTACATATGTGATATGCCTTGGATTTAAAGTATTGAGACTTAAATGTCTGTGTCTCATTTTTATAATTTTGGGTTATCACAGATTTCATTCTTATGTAAAAGCATTAGTTTTCACTGGAACCAAAAACTGAAGATAACAGTACATTTGCTGTTTTTTGTTTATGGTTTCTTTTCCTTCGCTTCAAAATCTTCATTGTTGGCAGTTCAGCTAATGAGCTTTAAATTCTAAATTAAAGAATGACAAACGCTCACTCGCTTATCACAGAATAAGACGTTGTCTATCTAAAGAAGATTCTGGTTAACATACTTTGAGAGAAATCTCATTTACCCTCGTACGGAAACTTCTTTGGCTTTTCCTCAATGTTTCCAAATAGATGTGATATCATAATTTATGTTTTGTGATTTTCTAAAAAATAAAGCAAAGCCAACCAAAACTGCATTCTCTAAAACAGAAACGGGAGCACTGCTCAGCAGAAAACAGCAGATTCTCATGTCTTCAGTTCTCGTAGAAATCGGTAGAAAATATTTTTTCAGAAGAGAAAAATTCCCTTTCCCTTTCTCCTCAGATTCCCTATTTTCTATTCCTTGTTTGTGCTTTCATTAGAATATGAAAATATTCATGGCAATATCCAGGCTTTCGAGAACAACTCTTATGTGCACGCAGTCAGCTGCTGTACCTCTTTGTCGGGGGTGGGGGGGGCAATTAAATCTTTCTTTTTTGTCAAAAACAAAACAAATAAATAGCATCCATAAGGAGAAGTCACCTTTCTGTATTGGCTAATCCATAAATACAGATGGTAATTGTCTGAAAGAAAAGCAGCAGCAAAATTAATTTCATCCTGACCTGTTGGCATCGACAAGTATAATTTCATTCCACCCTGCCACAAGAGACTGTCAAGACCTTCTTCTTTCTGTTAACTCTGATCTTACGAGACAGAACATCTCTTTGAGATATTTTTATTTCAAGTGCCTCAGTGGAGGAGGGAAGCCAATATATGAATAATTCTCTTAATACAGACTTAAAATAAACATCTTTAAACAGATTGTTCCCTTAAATTTTGTCACCGAACAAGAGTAGCATTCCGATTCTGAGGAACCGTGTCATAAACCCCAGTTGCTCTCGCAAGTATTTGCACGAATATATATTTTGTACCAAATTATAAAGCATCCCGTCCAAAGAGATCTGATTACTCGCCAACAATTCTTGCAGTTTTAAAGCGGTGATTTCCTTATCTCTGTCCGTGCCATATCACACTCATAGACAAGACTTCCAGAATCTACCTGAGTATCATTCTCATGAACAGGTCGTGTTGGCTGCATGCCAGATATCATCTGTAGGAAGTGGCAAAAATGGTTTATTTTTTTTTAATGTCATGTTAGACTGAAACAATTATAGATTTTGGATATATTAAATTATTTTAATTGTTTCCCAAATTTTCCCTCCTTGCCCATAAAAGCAGACAAGATAGGATATAAAGGTAACAGCATAAAAGCCTTAGGGAGATTGTCACACAATATCACTCTTCGCTCTGTCTTGAAGCACGTCACTACCGTGTTTTTGTTCAGTCTCTCGATGTTTTATTGTGGTCCTTATGGTATTTCATTTTGTCCGTCCTAAGTAATCAAATATGCACAGCTACTACATTTAGTTGGAAATCCTGTCGGTCCTGTCCCATCGTATGCAGCCTGAATCCTAATGTTTGTTAGAATAGACGCTAAAGCTGCTTCACTATTTCCCGGGCTTTGCTTATTCTGTGAAAAGGAATGTACTCTGGCATAAAGTATAGTCATAACACCGGCCTATACTTTGTGCAATGATTTAATGCACTGTAATTTCACATGAATACACAGCAACTCTGAGGCCAGATAAAATTAATGTTCTCTTTTGAACATCATTCATAGCCTCATCCCCACGTTCATGCTTTCGAATTTCCAGGGAATTTTTTGAAGCAACAAGGTGCTTTGGGAAGGCCTGTCCCATTGAGTGACAAGGAATGTTGACCACAGATGAAAAATCCATAGCAGGGAATCTGAAATTACCTTGCCGAGATGCTTTTTCACACCATACAATCAACCTTGTTGCTTTGCTAAAGGAAAAAAATTTGAAGTTAATTTTGTCTGGCCTGCAGCTATTTAGTGGATCTTGGCATATATTTGTGTCCTGCACAGGTAAGTGGTGTCTCAAGGGTCAGGCCAATCACAGATGCCACTTGGATAAGAATTAGATTTCTTTCAGAAGGTGGCTGTTTCTATTCATGTGCAATTACAGTATCTGTGCTGTTGATAAAGGCCTGTTCCCACTAAGTGTCCCTTATCTGTTTATTCTAGCTGCAAAAACGTTCCATACTCAAGTCACTTGTGTTTTCCTTCTTTGTCTCTTTCCACAGAGGGCTGTCCCGGTCTGTGCAACAGCAATGGAAGGTGTACCCTGGACCAAAACGGCTGGCATTGTGTTTGCCAGCCCGGCTGGAGAGGCGCGGGATGTGACGTAGCCATGGAGACCCTCTGCACGGACAGCAAAGACAATGAAGGAGGTAAGGAATGCTGAGTGCTGAGCGTGGGGCCTCCCTCGTGGCACAGGGGTTAAGATGCAGCACTATGAAGCTATCACAGCCACTGCAGCACGAGTTTGATTCCCGGACAGGGAGCTACCCACATGGTGCAGCAGAGCTCTCCTGTATAGCCGCTGCTCCCTGCAGCAGTGTATTTCAGTAGATCCACCTGTTCAGCTCCCCATTCTGTCTCTGGTGAGTCCTCTCACGCCCTGCAACTCTGGCCTGTACCCCAACTCTTGTATGCATAAAAAAGAAAAAAGGAAAATGCGGAGCATAGAGCCAGCCAGGAGCCCACACCCAGATTTGTCAGTTACCACGAGTACAATTATCCACTGCCAGAAAAGTCTGATCCCTGTAGATTAGATTGATTGAAAAATGGATGAATGCTGATTGAGAGATTCTGCTCCCTTTTTCCCTGAAACAAATGCAAGATTATCATCCTGTGAGAAAAGGCGAGGTAGCCCAGCTCCAGCATAATGCACGCAGGATCTCCCGGTGACGATTCCACGCAGCACAGTGAGAGTATTTAGGGCCCTGTGAACTGGGAGCGCCGAAGCAGTATCTTCATAACTAAACATTCCAAAAGATGCAAGGCATTTTCTGGGCCTTTCTGTTGCAAGGCGTGGAGGGAATAGGCAAAGCTGGAATGGAAAACCATCCCCGGAAGCTGTGTCCTTCATCTTTTTATTCGTAACGTCACACCCTGCTGACGGCTGTGATGCTGCACGTGGGCTACCCTCTTGGCTAAGCTGCGGCTCCTGCCCCCTGTGTGCACCTCCAGGCCACTGCCCGCACGTCTCGGGGAGCAGGACACCTGGTGCTGCCGTTCCTCAGCAGCTGTGCATCTGGGTTTCTTGGGGGATCTGGCTTTTCCCCGGGCTCCGTGGCCTCCCACATCCCACACGCCGCCCCATGGGGAAAGCTGCACGTAGTGTGTCTTGCCGTCAGCTCTGCCCTCGCCTGGCCCCTCCGCAACCCTGCGCAAGATCCTGGCCTTCTTCAGCTTCAGCTGCTTCTCTGTAAACCCAGGAGTTTCTGCAAGGTTCGCTGAGAGAATGTCTATAAAGGGCTCACAGAGTAACAGGCACGTGTATGCTCTAAGTAGCAGCTATTATTATCCAATTTTCCCCCTTTTGCTTTCAAGAGCCTCATCTTGACTGATTGAAATTCGTCGGAGGTTCTTAGAAAAGCTGAACAGCCTCTTTCTCTCTACAAAGAGTGGACCTGACTACTGGTCTCTAGGAACCCACCCCCCAAGAGTGCCCCCCACCCCCTGTCAGCTGCCCCACTTCCCCAACACACACACACCGCATACACCCTACATACACCACACACACCACACCGCACACACACCCTTACACAACACACTATACATACATATACAGCACACACAGCACATACTACATACACATGCATATGCACCGCGCATATACATACCATGTGCGCGCACGTCTACCACATATGCATACACATGCATATGCACCGCGCATATACATACCATGTGCACGCACGTCTACCACATATGCATACACACACACATATTACCCTGGGCGAACAGTCAGTCTCAAGCCAAATGTTATGGTGTCTTCTCTTCCTGCATTTCTCCCTATTCTCTTTCAACCTGGACTTGCAAGAAAGTTGAGCCACAAACTGAGCAAAGCCTCCCTTCCTTTCTGCCCCTGATAGATTCAGGAGCTCCCAGGCCCTCAGGCTTCTCCTGCCTGATGACACCCTGTGGCCCTGACTCTCCACCAGGTGCTTTGCAAAAATGGTCACCCCATCCAATCCCGGATGGCTAGTTTCTCATTATTTCCCCCAAGCAGCCCAGCCCCATGTCTTCTGCTGCCTGGGGAGGGGGAGCTGCTCTCCTTGATGAGGGTTTCAGATTCTGAAAGATTCCAATGAGGAAGCGTCTCTCCAGGCAGAGACTCTGCACTGCCCCCCCCCAAGTCCCCCAGTCTGCAGAGACACAGCAGAGGAATTGAGGGGCTAATCAACTCTTTAGTGTTGTTATCAGCTAAGGAGGTTTTTCCTTTTCCTCAAAATTTATCAACTGTGAATTGGCCTGCTTCCCCTTTGTTTATTCTCATTAGCATGAAACCGCCATCTCCAGGCTTCCCTCTCCAGGGGAAATCCGAGCGGATAGAAGACCTCCCTGCGGATTCTCCACTTATCTCATATAATTTGTATTCCTGTCCCTAACCTAATTCTGTTGATCTTAAGAGTGTAACCGCTGTGCCTTCTCCCCTCTACGAGAGGGACCTTTGAGTCCCGCTGAGTCAAAGTGTAGAGAGACTATATTTTCTCTCCAGATCTAGATCCAAATCCCAGATCTAGATCCATCATCTGGCAACTGAGGTTGCTGTTGTCACTATGTGAGGACAATGGAATGGAATGTTCAAAGTAATTTCAGTTGTGTGACATGAGGACTGGACCTGTGTGGTGGAGGATCTCACCTGAGCTTGGTGAATTAGCCAAAAAATAGCTAAGTCTTTTGAATTAACATATTAAATAAGAAAGTCAGGAGAAGAGGTCGATTGATCCCCAGTCAGGAATTAAAGACGTCCTATAAACAGCTACGGGCATTGTCTGAGCAACTTTGAAAAACACAATCTGTGTTTTAAAAAAGTTATATATCATTCCCCAAACTGAAGAAGATACAAAGCTACAAATGGAGAAATCGTTAAATATTTTCTCTTAGATGAAGCAGCTTCCTGCCCCTTCAAAAGATTCTTCCCAATTTAGCCTGTCTCCACTGTCCGCAGATAGTGGATCCAACATCCAACAGGGATCCAACATCTGGATTTCACTAACTAGGTGTCCCCTATTTAGTGTTGCCCTTGGAGATCCCCTGTCCCCACTCTAAAAGGCCCGAGAGAAAGCCGTCTAGAAGAATCTTCTTAATGAGGGACAGGAAGAATGGATTATCAATAAAATACATCAAAAGAACTGACCTTCCGCCTCCCTTCACACCAACACACGCGCAGGAACAAACGTCCTGTCCAGGGGATCTCGTCTCTTTAAGGCTCAAGGAAACAGCTGCCATGCACGCAGGACACTGAGCTTTCCAGAACTACTGCCCATCTGTTCCCCGCCATGAAGGCCCTGACAAAGAGCCCCCTTCTCGGTGGCATCGAGAAGGTGCCTGCCCGCCCGGGGTGCTCAGATCCCCCAGGTAGCCGACTCAGGCTTTTGGAGCAGGTCTTCTGGACCAGGCAGCTGACAGAACAGTGGGTTATCAAATCACACGGAAAACCAAAAGCCAATGGTCACCAGGCCAGGTGGACGTGCTGACGTCTCCGCACGGGCGTGAGGCACGGGGCGCCCGGGCACAGGATCCTGTCCTGGCGGAGAGCGCTCCAGAGCACGCGAGCCCCAGCCGAGGCTTGGCCGATGAACACTCCTTCAGCTCCACCTGCAAGGTCAACCTGCCTCTCGATGTGCACATCCCAGAGCCCACTCTGATCGTGCAGTCGCTGAGATTGGAGAAGAGACCGGTGACAAATGAGAACTGGTAGCTGCCGAAGGCTCTGAGGGGGGTTCAGCCTCGTCTCCTGATGCCTCCTTTCATTCGAATGGATTTGAGGCTCCATCGGTCTCACCCTGTCCTTCCCCCCAGACTTCCACTTCCTCTTGACCAGAAATCCCTCCCATTCTCAATGATTCTATTCAGTTACTCTCACCAGGAAAGACTCTCTGGTTGCCCACAATAGAAACTCCTCTCCTACACTAATATGAAAACTCAGACATAGCTGTACCTGTGTCCAGACAACAACAGAAATTCAGACTCACCCCTGGCCAGCCCTGTGCTCTGCTGTGGAGGCCCCAGGCTAACTATCTCTCCTGCAAAGTGGTCCCCACCAGCTCTGGGTTAATAGTCCACTAGCGTGAGCACCCCAGAACTAGGTGGGCACTTTTGCCAATGGTTCCAGAGGCCTGACCCTGACTCTCAATGGTTTGAGCTGGGTCACGCACAGAGGAAGGTGAAGGCTGTCCCTGGCAGAGAGGGGCGTGGATTCTGGGCAGGCAGAAGAGCAGATGCTACTGCAGTCGTGGTGATAACTCCCCAGGGCAGGTTGTTTGAGTATAATGGACAATATGCACCAGGGACTCCCCATGTGCCTGTGGGTGCCTGTCCCTCTCAGGAGGAATCTTCTATTCTCCTTCTCTTGCCTTCCTTCAAAATCACAGCCTTCTCTCTTGAGAACCAGAAAACCAGTGCTCTCTGTTCCAAGATTCGCAAGGTGGCCATCCTGTAGCCCCAGTTTGCTTTCAGAGGCACCGTTGCTTGTACCTAGCTACCTGCTCTGGGTCCCATCAGCAGAGGGTTTCTTGACTTGAGACAGCCCATCAGTGGTGGGTCTACTCTACGAGCATCAAAATGTAATTGCTGGCCAGAGGGAATCTTTAGGAAGCTCCAGACACCTACTAACTGGTAATTTCTCCAAATCCCATTCTCTCTGGCAATCATTACTATACCCTGTCTTTCTTCTCATTGGGGAGATCTAGTCAAAGGGAAGTTTTGACTCATGCCTTTTTGGCCCCTCAGTGGGTAACTTCCCTGTGGGTGGCTGAAGCATGGTACTAGACAATGGGGTGTTCAGGGGGCAGGAGTGACCCGGCTTCATACTACGCCTTGTGCCATCCTGGTGAAATGCCAAAGTAGAAATCCTCCTAGGAATCTCTATCTGCTCACATCTCACTGGTAAATAGAAATAGTCTCTGTCCTTCAGAATGATTACTTTGTTGTGTGAGGTAGCTGAACCTAAAAAAGCTTTCTTTTAAGTCTTTGGAGGTCAATGGTAGTACAGAGGAAAACACAATTCAATTGAGGTTATTCAGAAATTAGAAAATACAAACCATGTAAGAAAGAAAAGAAAGGTTCAAACCACAAGACAAATTAGGAATGTGCTAAGAGTAGCAACAGAGCCATGGAGAAATCAATGAAATTTTAATGGCAGCACCGAATGAGTATGATG